GGAACTTTTTTTTCCATTGCAATCTGCTAGCTGAGTTTTATTTCTGATGGTAATTTAATTTTTGTATTAAGCAGTTTTCTAAGTTTAATGATTATTTTTAAATTCTATTGTATTGCATTTTTTGTTATTTAAATATTGATTGTTATGTTCATGTATGTATGGGTCTTGTATATATTCTCTTAAAAATCAGTGGTTAAGGATTGTGTAACATTTTTTTTTTAAATAGACATGTTTTTTTTTATTATTTTTTCCATTGCAATCTGTGGCTAGCTAAGTTTTATTTTTGATGGTAATTTAATTTTTGTATTAAACAGTTTTCTAAGTTTAATGATTATTTTTGAAAGCTATTGTATTGCATTTTTTTGTTATTAAATTATTTACTGTTATGCTAATGTATGTATGGGTCATTTATACATTATAATATCTCTGAAAAATCTTGGGTGGAGAATAGTTTATTTTTTCATTCTGAAATTTTTAAAATCCATGTATATTATTATTTTAATATTGACGAAAATAGTTTTAAAAAAGTACATGTTAATTCATTGTCAATTTTGACACTCAACTTTATTGTCATAATATATAAAACTTAGGCTGAAGCAGGCCACAGAGAGCTTCTTGGTTGAAGTGATACCCCCACCATGAGTGGATAATAGAGGGCCAAACATTTGAACTGTAACCCTCGGGGACCTGTAGCCAAGGCTAAGTTTGGTTATATGAAGTATTTTATTTAATTTTACAACTATCGTTGAACAGCCGACCCAATCTAATGAGTTTACGACTACTAATGTTCAACTCCGTAGCCTTGTAATTTTGAACTAATCCAGAAGACAGGGAAACTCCTGGATCAGGTAGGTATTGATTTGTCATGGGAACATGGAGGACTTTGAGATTTGACAGATTTAACATGCATCAGTCACCATTTACTACACGGGGAGTCTTCGCCCGGCGAGGATCAAACCCACGACCTCTTGGATATGGGCCCAGCGCCCTACCTACCAGGCTTTTTACTGCTGATAAATCTAAATGCAAGGAGTAATACTGGATATGGATTGAACACAAGCCTGTTTTTTTTATTATTGTCTGCCAAAAGGGCAGAATGGCATGATCACAAATATGAAAAATACATTCTATGGATAAAAAAAAAATTATTGCACTTTAAAAACATACTCAAAAGTTATTATTCTTTTAATAACAAAGAACTTTTGTTTTATTCATTTATAATATTTTAAAGACAAATTGCATGATAATGAAAAGTTCCTGCTTTTAATTTGATAGAAAATTATCTTTATCAAGAAAATTAAATGAAATAGAGTTTAAACTTTTTTCTTTCAATCAACTTTTGATAATTTACATGGTGGGGCTGTTCTAATGACCAAAGAAATTTTTATATTTCAGGCATAGAAATTAGTAGGTTTAAAAATTCCTCTATATTTAATTTTATATGCATGACCTACATGTTACTTTATCAGTTTTAACTGTTGCTTCCCCCCCCTGGAGTTTCATATGTTAATGTTAAATATTAGTGTGACTTCAAGCCTCTCATTTTTCAAATAAGTGTGAATGAATTTTTTTCTTCTAAAAAGTAAAATAATATCAAATTGCAAATTTGAGTAATCCACTTTTAAGTGCACTCAATTTGAACAGATTCCATTGTGAATCTATTTTGCTTCTCAATTGCCTTTTCAATAGTTATTGCTACAACACTCTGCATGATTTTAAAGAACCCAATTTTTAATAGGATACGTGAATTTCAAATTTTAGTAATTACTTTTCTATGTATATTTGCTATATATATATTCTTCTATATACTTGTTTAAATATGAATTTGATTCATAACTGTTTTAGTTTTAAAACTGCATGGATCTTTTTCATGACAGATAAATTACAAGCACTTTAAAATTTCATATAAGGTAGTCTAAAAAACATACTTAAAAACTTATAATAAAATAGATACTGAATATATAATTTGATTAATAATCTTAATAGGCTTTCCATGCTGTATTATATATTTTTTTTATTATAAACAGTTAAGAAAATTTCAATAAATTACACAACAAAAGATTACAAATTTTATGGCTTAATTTTTGTACAGAAAAATTTACATTAAAGAATGAAATTAGTATAAAAAGTAATTCATACTTATGAAGTTTTTTTGTTTTTTTTTTCAAAATGCTCAATTGTCCTGCCAAAAAAAAACATTTTAGTAAGACATTTTCAAACAATGAAAAAACACCAAATTAGAGTACTATTTTATTCACCATAAATCTTAAGAAATTGAACAGAAAATAAAAGTTGAACAATATTAAAATAACAGGGTGGTCACTCAAATCAGATTTCAAATTTTCCAGATAAAAATCTTAAAATTTCCAGGTTTTTGTTTCTTATAAGGTGTAGGATGTGTACAAGAACAGTGTCTATATTATAAATTATTTTATTCAAAATGTTATTTTCTTAACATTTAAAAAATTTATTTTGACAAGATTTTTTATTTATGTTTTGTTACAAAATTTTGAATCAAAAATCATATAGTGACCAACAAAAGAGTAAAATTAAATATTATTATATAGTTGGTTCTTAAAAAAACCTTATTTTTGCTAAGTTGATAATATATCAACTGTTTAGCAATACATTTTCGTTTAAAAAAAAGTGGGTATAACTGCTGAAATAATTTAAAGTAAGAAAATTAGTAAATAATTTAAATTAGTGAAGTTAAAAAAATTATCAAAGAAAAAATTTCCAGCTTTTCTTTAAAACTCCATGATTTTACCAGGTTTTTATTCAAATTTCCCTGATATTTCCAGGTTTTTTCCAGTATAAAAAAAATTCCCTAATAATTCCAGGTGGGTGGCCACCCTGTTGTTTTACTTATAAGAAATTAGCAATGTCTCCAATTGAACAAACTTTGTTGAAAAATCCTATTTTTCTTAAAATATATTAAGAAAAGTTGTTGCAATTAAGCAAGTAATAAAAAGCAAGATGACACTAAATTGTGGAAATGAAAGTATTATATATTAGAAATATTTCTTTTCAAATTCTTATAAATTTTAAAATCTTTTGATTAAATAGTAATTAAGTAATGACTCAAACTATAAAAATATATTTTGAAGGTTCTCTAAGCTTTCAATAAATTAGATGAATTAAAAAAATTATTTCAGTAATTTCTGTAAGTGCAGAAACTTTTTTTTATAAATTCAAAATATAAATTATAGATTGCATTTAATTTTTAAGGACCATATTTAATTTTACTACTGAACCTGAAATAATAGTGTGCAAAAATACATTATTATTTCAATATTTCTAGTGATTATTGCACTTTTTTTGAAGTGATATGTTTGTCTACGCACGTTTTTGCTTAAATAATTATCTTAATCTAATTAAGATTTACAGAAGTAAATATAATGAAAATTTATTTGATTATCAAGTCCATTGAAAAGAGCTAATATAATTGCATTGCTTAGTTGCTAAAAAAGATGAACCTAAATTCATAGAACAGTCATATATTATCTTCGATTTCATTCATGTTATTGTTAAAACTCACACGCATCTTTTCAAACGAATAAAATACAATTTCAAAGAGGTAAAGATATTATCTAATTGTAAATGTCAAACTCAGAATCTACTGTGTTAATATAGATAGGAAATTAAAACATTTTTTATCGTTTTTTATGCACGATTTTTTAATATTTATTCGGGGGAAAAATATTGCGCAAACGGAAAAAATTTTATGTTTATGGAACAAGGAGAGAACATCTATTCTCAATAAATTGTTTTTAATATGTGACCTTGAACAACAAGAATACTCTCAATGAAATAATCTCTATTTCTCGAAATGCCACCCACATGTTAACTATTGAGAATCTGCCTGTCCCCCGTTCTATTGTCTGAGAAACATCTTTTTCTTTCTAAGTTTCCAGGAAATATTTCTTCTCGTGCCTTCACAGCTTGCCACAATGTAAATTTACTTCTCACAAAATNAAAAAAAAAAAAAAAAAAAAAAAAAAAAAAAAAAAAAAAAAAAAAAAAACATGTATAATTAAAAAAAAAGTTTCACAATCCTTAATTAATTAAGAGATTTTTAAGAGAATATATAAAAGACCCATGCATACATGAACATAACAATCAATATTTAAATAATAAAAAATGCAATACAATAGCTGTTAAAAGTAATCATTAAACTTAGAAAACTTCTTAATACAAAAATTACATCACTATAAAAAATTAAACTTAGTTACCCACGAAGGAAAAAGCTATAACAAACATTTATTTAAAAGAATTGATCAGTGTAACTTTTTATCAAAATTCATATATAAAACTGGATTTTTAACAATAGACTTATACATGATTTTTACAGACTTAAACATGATTTTTTACAATACATAACCATGATAGCAGGATATTAAAATTAATAAAATAAAAACACTCCAGAATACAAAACCAAACATCAAATATGAATACCATGATCATTCTAACCTGAATACCTTGGGATACTTAACTCAAGGATAAAATAAAATTTACGGCCCTATCACATAACATGGAGGTTAAAGAATTACAAATATTGTTTCAAAATGAAGAGGTAATTGTAAACTACAAATAAAATGTTCTAATACAGAATAGTCACTAGAGAGGAGAATGTAATAATGCAGTCTGAAGGTATAAAAAAAAAATACATTTAAAATAAGAGGTAACAACTCAAATAAAACATTAATTATGCAAGTGTTCATAGGAGGCTAAACTTGTAGATGAAAATTTGCCGCAGATCTTCTTCCAAACACAGAGATGCACCCGTAAAATACTTTCAAACCGCCAATTTAAACTACCTATGAGTATTAAATTAATTAAATATAAAAATTGATGACAGACTAATACCAATTTCAAACAAACTGTAAACAAAAACTTACATGTACTTATCATCACTTAGTATAGGATTAGTAATGTTTACCAACCCACATATCGTTATCAGGATATCGTCGATGACGTCCATCATGTGCCACGGAAGCGGACCTTTCAACAACTTGAAAATCTTCAACCTTTGGTTCAGCCGTTCAATGTGAACTCTAGCGGAAGCAATCACTTTAGTCATTGAAACTTGATTTTCTGCAAGCTGAGTCTTTTGCTTCAAAAACGGGGGCCTAAAAAGAGTTATATGATTCTCTTTGCATACGTCTTCAATTTTAAAACCTTTATCCACCATCACAGCATCCACCAGGGGCTCTAACATGTGAAGCACGTTGCTTTGGCGAATGATGCAACTGTCGCTGGTTCGCCCACCATAAGCCTGGCTAACAAAGCAGATTACGCCTCCTGGTGAACAGCCAACCAGAAGCTTAACTGTGTGGTCCGAACAATAATTTGAATAAGTCCTAACTCTACAATTAAGACAGCTTGGTTTATCAACAACAATCTCAGTGCAATCAAACACTACACGTACATTTTGAAAATGTTTAAAACAGTTTGGCATGTTCTCCAATACATGTTCTTTAGTTGGCCAAAATATGAAATTCTGAAAGTGATCAGCCAAAGCAGTGATAACCTGTTAGGGATAAAAAATTAAAAAAATTACAAATTTGAAAATACAACAAATAGTCCCTGTATATGAAAAGCCATAAATTGATCCACGTCTTACCTCCTTAAAAATAATTTTAACCAAATTCGGTGTACAACCAAACAGAATAGCAGCATAGCTGTAGGACTGATTCTGCTTGATGATTTGAAAAGTTAAAACTATCTGATGTGTGGCATCAATCTTCCTTTTAGTTAAACGAGGCCCCACATCAGCAACAATCTGATAAAGCAGTTGGAATGACGTTAAACCAGTAGCAGTATTTAATTGTTTCTCCGTGAAACTTGCAACATTGACTAAAATAGGAGAAGCCAAATCTCCACTATATATTTGTACACTTTTATCCAACTTCAAAGGTGGTATATCAGGCAGCAAGCCACTGTCAGCCTCTCCTTCCAGTTGACATTCTTCCTCGGGAAGTGAAGGAGCCTCAACAAGGGGAGTCTCAACAAGGGGAGCAGCTTGTTTCTTCCTAAAAATAAAAAACCTTTAAGACTCTTGTATGGAATCTAATGAAAATCCTTTCTGCCCTGTAATACCACATTACTAATTATTAAAAGTCTTACATCTTTTAGGTCAACTTAATTTTCAATACATTTCAGGATTCCAATTATAAAGTTAGACATTTTAAAATTGCCAAGTACTATCTTGCAATTTAAAATAGACTGTAAAAGAAAAATTTGATATTAACTTAACAGTATAGTTGACAGTTGATAAAAACCTAATATACTTACGGCATTCACCAATCAATATAGAAAAAAATATTAAATAATTTAACAGTTCTAGTCCATTATTTTAACTTTGATTGAAAGTGATAATGTTAAAGTATATTAAATAAAAAAAATTTTAAGAAGAGAGACTGATAAAATTTTGATAAGTGATAGCTTAATTTTCTCGTTAAAATTACAAAATTTATCATAAACATTTAAAAAGAAATTTAGTATAGACACCTGCACCAAAATATTCATTAAGTTATGGTAATATTAAAAGCAGCATGCAATTTTTTAAAAATAAAACAAACAAAACTTAATGAGGATAACTCATAACCACCACAGACATACATAATTCTTCATAAATACAAAAAAAATACTTGCTACTTTGGCAATTGTAGTTAACAGATGAAAAGGCACCTAAATACAAAAATATTTCCACTTAACATTTTGAAAGCACTTACAGTTCAAGAGCTTTTCGGCGCCTAGCACGCTCTATGGCAATCTTCTTCGCTCTTTCAACATAGGTGGTAATTACGGTAGAAGGCGGCAGATTTACAGAAGGAATCGCATCCTTTTTTAAATTAGGCCTCCGCGTAGGAATATCTGAAAGAAAGGACAGATCATTAATCAGAAGAAGAACAAGGAGTTTTAACTAATTTTTTTCTTGTAGAAACAGTTCTGTAATCCTAAGTGTAAATTAAAATTTCACCATTCAAATAATTTCAGGTTTTTATTTCAAAATACTGAAAACCTTTTAACATTCTCGCCTGAAAACATGGATTACTTTGGTTGGTAGTATGTGATTGAATATACACATAATTGCTAAAAACAGACAGTTTCAAAAATTAAATTACACAATGAATTGATTTAAAAAAATATATAGTACACACTTATGATAAACACAATGATAAAACTAATAATTAATCTAGTTTGATTAAAATTAACCCTGAAGAATTCAAAATTGATTATATAATCGTAGTCAAAAGAAAATTATAAAAATCAAACACTTCTTCCAAAAAGTAGCTTCTTAAAATATGGAAATGTGTTTCACAATTTATTAAAAAAACTTGCATGGAAGACACATGTAAAACGTGGTATGATTGCATTTGTATATACTTTGTAAATAAATTGAATTACAATAAGNACAAAACTTAATGAGGATAACTCATAACCACCACCAACATACATAATTCTTCATAAATACAAAAAAAATACTTGCTACTTTGGCAATTGTAGTTAACAGATGAAAAGGGACCTAAATACAAAAATATTTCCACTTAACATTTTGAAAGCACTTACAGTTCAAGAGCTTTTCGGCGCCTAGCACGCTCTATGGCAATCTTCTTCGCTCTTTCAACATAGGTGTTAATTACAGTAGAAGGCGGCAGATTTACAGAAGGAATCGCATCCTTTTTTAAATTAGGTCTCCGCGTAGGAATATCTGAAAGCAAGGACAGTTCATTAATCAGAAGAAGAGCAAGGAGTTTTAACAAATTTTTTTCTTGTAGAAACAGTTCTGTAATTGTAAGTGTAAATTAAAATTTCACCATTCAAATAATTTCTGGTTTTTATTTCAAAACACTGAAAACCTTTTAACATTCTCGCATGATTGAATATACACATAATTGCTAAAAACATACACAGTTTCAAAAATTAAATTACACAATTAATTGATATAAAAAAATATATAGTATACACTTATGATAAACACAATGATAAAACTAATAATCAATCTAGTTTGATTAAAATTAACCCTGAAGAATTCAAAATTGATTATATAATCGTAGTCAAAAGAAAATTATAAAAATCAAACACTTCTTCCAAAAAGTAGCTTCTTAAAATATGGAAATGTGTTTCACAATTTAAAAACTTGCATGGAAGACACATGTAAAACGTGGTATGATTGCATTTGCATATACTTTGTAAATTAATTGAATTACAATAAGCTCAATCTCAATTGGTGGAACACTGAGCATGAAAGATATTTTGTCTTCCTAATACGAAATTTTATATTTATAAAATAGTAAACTTATTACTCTTTTATCAACTTAAATTACTTTTACTTATTACTTTCTTATCGACTAAATCTGTCACTTGAAAATGAATCTGTTTGATTACTGTAGTAATCAACAAATGCATAGCTGTTTACGAAGATTAAAAAACGTTCTTTCATCAAGATTTCAAAAATAGATAAATAAAAATATAACACACAAATCATGCGAACCTTGGAATGTTAAATCAATAGCCACTGCAACACACATCTACCCTTGTTTACGAATGCATTAAATAACTTAAATTATGCTTAAAATTGAAATGAAGAAAGGGCAAGTTTATTAAAGTAATTTACTTACCAGGACATATGAAGTCTTGATGAAGTCTGAAGCTTTAAAGTGTTGACTACATACTCGCATTCCAGAACTCACATCCTTTCCAATGCGCAACACGTGTATCCATTGCTGGCGTCTTTTTCCGTCAGAAATCTTTGGAAATATGTGAAAACTAACAGAAGGATTTTTAAAAGCGTACGTCGAACAACGAGGTACACAACAATACGATTTATATAACTTATTCAAATTTTTTCTAACAATTATACGACTCATGATAATTTGAGATACTAAAACTAGTTAGCACGTCTTAAGGCTGGGACACACCTGTCATGCAGCGTTCCGATCCGACTCATACCCGATTTTCTTTAAAAAGTGTGACCGGCGCGGGATCGGAAAGGAATGAGCACATGTTTCATGTTCACAACCTGCTTCTTTCCGATTTTACGTTAGTTCAACTCGAGATCGCAAACAACCGTGGAACTGTGCAATAATGTTGAATCATTTTAGCAATCGTGATTTAGCTATTGTGGCTATTTGTTTGGACGAAGAAGATCGAAATAATGAAAAGAGTAGTAGGAAACGTGAATATTGGGTACATGATGCATGGAAAAGAAGACACGAAGAAGGGGAGTTTACCACACTTTTACCTCATCTGTTGGACGACGAGGCGAAATTTTTTCATTACTTCAGAATGCCTATGCACACCTTCAATCAATTGGAACTTAAACTCAAAGAACATTTAACCAAGCAAAACACGTATTTTAGAAAAGCGATTACTCCTAGACACCGCTTGGCAGTATTTGTAAGGTAAGATACCATTTAATTTACACTGTGGTCTCTTGTCAAAAAAC